ACCAAAAAGTGAAAAATAAATATAAACTGCTGGACAAATGAAGCGGAACAGGCGAATTTTTAGGTTAACTTCAAATACTAATATTATGCGAATTAAAAAAAGATATCAATGAGCGGTTTGCGAATATTAAATTCTTAATCACGCAAATGACTCATTGATATCCTCTTTAGTTCGCGTAATATTGAAATCCAAAGTTAAACTAAAAATTCGCTTGTTCCACTTCATTTATCCAGCAATTTAGTTTAAAAAAACTACCCTTTCCGACCCTTTCAAGAATTTTCCAGACGTTTCCAGAGATTTCCAGGCTTTTCCAGACAATATCCAGACTTATTCAGAGTTTTACAGACTTCATCCAGATTTATCCAGCCCTTATCCAGACTTGTACAGACTGCTCCGAATTCTAGAATATGATCCCCAGGTCTTTTGGGACCTTTTCCAGAATTGTTCCGACCCTTTAAGAAGTTTCCAGGCATTTTCCAGACGTTTCCAGACTTTTCCAGACATTATCCAGACTTATCCAGACTTATCCAGAGTTTTCCAGGCTTCATCCAGATTTATCCAAACTTTATCCAGACCTGTTCAGACTGATCTGGATTCTAGAAAATGATCCCCAGGTCTATTGGGACCTTTTCCAGAATTTTTCCGACCCTTTCCAGAAATTTCCAAGCCTTCTCCAGACGTTTCCAGATATTTCCAGACTTTTCCAGACAATATCCAGACTTATGCAGAGTTTTTTCAGACTTCTTCCAGATTTATCCAGCCCTTATCCAGACTTGTACAGACTGCTCCGAAATCTAGAATATGATCCCCAGTTCTTTTAGGACCTTTTCCAGAATTTTTCCGACCCTTTCAAGAAGCTCCAAGGCCTTTTCCAGACGTTTCCAGACTTTTCCAGAAATTATCCAGACTTATCCAGAGCTTTCCAGAGTTTTCCAGGCTTCATCTAGATTTATTCAGACCTGTTCAGACTGATCAGGCTTCTAGAAAATGATCCCCAGGTCTATTGGGACCTTTTCCAGAATTTTTCCGACCCTTTCCAGAAATTTCCAAGTCTTTTCCAGACGTTTCCAGAGATTTCCAGACTTTTACAGACAATATCCAGAGTTTTACATACTTTATCCATATTTATCCAGACCTTATCCAGACTTGTACAGACTGATCCGGATTCTGGAAAATGATCCCCAGTTCTTTTGGGACCTTTGGCAGAATTTTTCCGACCTTTTCCAGAAATGTCCAGGCTCTTTCCAGACGTTTCCAGAGATTTCCAGACTTTTCCAGACATTTTCCAGACTTTTCCAGACTTTTCCAGGCTTTATCCAGATTTATCCAGACTTGTGCAGACTGCTCCAGACCTTATCCAGTCCGTTCCTGACGCTGACCTCTCTGTACTTCTTCCAAACACTTTCCCGACTTGTTCTAGCTCACTTGGCTTGTTCCAGGTTCCAAGCAACCAGCTGACTTGACGATGACGTGATTTACAGTGACTGAACAGATGCGAAATGTTACAGTAAACTGTAAACTTTATAAAAGATAGTGCGCCATCTCGTGGAATTATGTGGTACTAAGCCTCTTGCGGGCGATTACGTCACGCGCTCCTTCACAGTAAAATTCAAATTAGAAATTTTAATATTTTTTTTTAAAAGTTACTGATAACTTTTGAACAAAATAAAAGTTTTCTAAAAATTGATGTAGATTAATATCACGCAATAAAAAAAAAACGCTTAAACACCGGATTGGTTATTGCATCCTAAAATCCAGCTCATGTAATTATTGTTTCTCTACACATATGCTTCGAATATAATATATCATTCTGACATCTGGGTTCGTTATAAAACGTGAGTCAAAGATTATTCTTGACTTTAAATAAATTATTACAACCACATGGGATCTGGTTCAGTCGAGAGATTAGTTTAAAAGTTTAGTGTTTATCTCGGAAAACATAAATTTTGCCTATATATTTGTCAATTTTGGGTTACAGCAATAATAATCTTGAAGCTATAAAATTCGATACTTTTTTCTGGCTTTCAAGTGCTTTTTACCCTCGAACAGATTAGGCCTTTCGCAGAATTCCATGTGTCTGTAAATTTCATTATAGGGTCACATTTTAGCTATCTATAAAGTAAAGCTTTTCCCACGAAAAATGAATTTGAACCGAGAATATAAATTTGTTATTGATTTTGTTACAATCTTCACTCATCAACTTTTTTCTATACTTATTAACAACTAATCATTCAATCACATTTTTCTCAGTAGAAGCACTGAAGCAACCAGCAACTCACTGTTCAGTGTGGACCTTCCATAGCCCCTGATCCCTGACCCTTGACCCTTCATTGCCCGAGATCCTTCAACTGGACCTTCTAGTTTAGTGTCCAAGAAACATTGTCTGAATCAGCAATAACGAAAAGAGAGACGACTGAAATAACCTTGGTCTTGACAGCGGGTATTCACTTTACAGCTTTTATGCGTTTTATTACCATGTTCAATGCATTCTTCCTTCTCCAGATGGAGCCTGGAGCCTACTCGAAGTAATGACTCAATTCTGGACACGTTCACGTTTTTCATGACTCATGTAGATTACATAGGTACTTCATACTGATATCATATCAGTGTCATGTACCTAATGTAATTATATAATATGTTGATGTACTCATCAAATATGCTTCGCAATCAATAATCAATTCATCCAAGACAAACCTACTTATTACGTCGAAAGTATAGCGCCGAGATTAAAAAAAAAATCATCTTGAATACCGTAACTTGCCTACCCAGACGGACTGCCTGCAAACTTATCTCATTCTCTTAATGATAATATATGATGATAATTTTTTTCTAGTTAAATAAAAAATAAATTTGATTTATTTTAGATTTCAAAATAATTTCAATAACTTAAAACGGTTCCATATCACTCCATCAAATAATAATATCAATGGGTATAGTGGAGTGCCTACAAAAAAAAAAAAAAAAAAAAACGCCAAATTGGGTTACAAGCATGAAATTTGGCATAGTTGTCATGAAGTACATTTTAAGAGATCTGAGTCGATTAGCCAGGCTCTACGACCCTCAAGACTCCCAATCTCGCATTTTCTTCCAAAATGGCGGACGGGATTTTCCCTAATTTCAAAATTAATTTACTTGGGCATGATTACACAAATGGGGCACTTTTCGAAAAAACGCTCGAACACACAGAATCGTTGATTTTGTTATTCGCCCTTGCAGTTAGTACATGCGGGTATACAAGGTAGACCTGCTTAGTGCTTTCTGACACAAACATCTGTTGGTCTCACATTGACCTTCACATCCACACTTCTTTAGTCCTCTTAGAGGTCACCAAATTTGTGGTAGCTGGCTCCCAGCAGTTGTTTGTTAAATTCCAAGTTCCTCCAGGTGATGGAACAGGTTCGGCGGGTGACAGCGATCGATCATATTTGACCAGCTTGATAAGCAGCTGTTCTGTAATCTTACATTAGACTGTCTTGTTAGGGTGGACACATGGCTATTGGTCGTTCGCCGCTACAAAACTGCACCTTTCTCAATTTGTTAACTTTTTCAAGTTTGCTTTTTGCATCATATAGGTACCTGCTGTTTTAATGAATTTCTCTAAAATTTTGAACATATTTTGTGGTATATCTGTGCTACTATTCATTAAAGATAAATAATGGAAGGGCAGGATTGCCTCCGGATAATTTTCCCATATGCTTTCCATTCTCTGTTCTTGTCAATGCAAAAAAGGAAGTAGTGTCGCACCCTGTAAAAGCGTAAAAGTCACGCCAGTACCATAGACTTAAATACTACGAATAGACGTCCAGTGGAAATAGCAGCACAAAAAATGCCTCAATAATTCATAAGATGGCGCCACTCGTATTAAAAATTCAGAGAAAACTGTGCTAGCACCCTTGTGTACGAGCAGCGTGTCATTGTTTCCAGGACAACCGCATTCCGCCTTTTTTCTGATGTTTCGGTGTTGTCAAGTTTATACGGGCAAAAAAGTAGACAAGAATTCTCTTTGCTATTTGCGACTTTCGAAGAAATAAATTATTGCTTGGATTTCAAAGAACTAATTTTCAAAATGTCTGGAAACAAATGTTGCTACTTTAGTTGTGGCAAAAGTCAGAGAAACGACGGGGTGAGATTATTTCCTGACCCTGACCCTGATGACGTTTGCCATCATCATAGAAAATTTTTGTTAGAATCTCTGGTTCTAACAAATTTATTAAAATTTTCAAAATGGGAAGCTACAAAATTGAAAACGTTAGAAGCCGAGAAAAAGAAGAAAAAAAAATCCATTTCAGCTTTCACTAGAAATAGAAAACTTAACAATTTACAAAATAAGTGAAATTTATTTATATTAAAAAAAAATCTTAACATTAACAATTTATTAATTTGCGTATAATATTTAGTATAAGATGCAGTATTAAAAAAAATTGGTGTCTTAATGTATGGTTTGGCCTATTTAATGATTTTGGACTAGTTATTTTAGAACTATAGGCAACAGCGTAACGCGCGAATTTGAATTATGACAGAAATGCGCGCCATCTCGTATCCAGCATCTAAAATACCAGAGCCTGAATTGAATTTGGAGGCTCGCTTTCGATAGCGAGCCTCCAAATAGCGTCGCAGATTTTTACCATTTGACTGGACGTCTATTCGTAGTATTTAAGTCTATGCCAGTACTGAAGATTTTTCAGGTTCCAATAGGGTAAACCACCCATTTATTGGACACTTAAGATTTTTTTTTTTAAATCGATAACGTGTCCAAATTTTATTTTCAGGTCTACGGACTTGAGCAAATATCTAAAATGACACTTATTATATGGCCTTCAATTATCTTTATTGATATTAACTCTTTGATGGATATTTTTTTTTTTACAGGCAAATAACAAATTACATGACAAAAAAAAATAGTTATTGGACATGGAAACGATGTTTTATTTTTCTTTTATTCAACACAAAAAATGAATATTATTATCAGTTTACAATACGATTTTATCATTCTTATCTATCTAATAATATTTGGCACATTCATCTTTATACAAAGAGAATAATTTATCTATTTCTTCCTCCTCATTTTCATCAGTTTTCTTCTTTTCGTCTGAATTTGTATCATTTAAATCATTGTCGTTTTTGTTTTGATCTATTTCCAAGCTATCTTCCTCTTCATTCTCATCAAAATCTTCACTATCGGCTCCATCATCGCTGTCCTCCTTGTAACAAATGTGACACATGAACAGATCATCATCTTCTAAGTCGGGAACGTGGTTTTTGTGTTTCTTGGGAACGCAGTGACGATGGATATATATTTTTTGCAACTATCACATTTAAAGTAGTGGCTATTTTTATATAGTTGTTTTGTGCATACAAAACAATTGCCATTAGTTATACCATCAGCTGACTTACGAACTCTTTTAGTTTCCAAATTTGCTTTGGCTGCAGCCTTTTCTTCTCTTAATCGTTTCCTCTCCAATTTCTCATTCTCTTCTTTTAATTTAAGCGCGCGTTTGGCTTCAAAATTTTCTTGGTAAGATCTAGAAGTTATGGAAAACGAAACGCGCTCTACATCGCGCTTGTTCTTTTACTGGGGTTTGTCTGGCATCGTAAGGAAATCACTGATACATCTTTTACTTGTTGATGGTAATAATGAAGTAGCTGCATCAGTAATATTATTATCTATTGAAGGTGTCTTCAAAGTTTGAGGCAATTTTATATTTCCAAAATTATTACTTGCAATATCAGTTGAATTCGCAGATTCTTTCACAGGATCTAATGGATTAATGCTAATACTTTCATTAACATTGATATTTTCCAAATGTAAAGGCCTAGTTTGTGGTTCTGGTCTGCCTCCTGAAGTATGAATAAATATACTAAAGGGATCTGAAGTTTCACAATCCCCAGTGATTTTGGAAAGTTTGGCATCACTTTGTATATTTTTTGATGGGCCGGGCTCGTTTAATTCAACTAACGCTTCTGATCTAGTACTGGCCTCTTCCAATTCACTGGAATGTTCTTCGTTTTCATACTCCATAACTTCCATGTTAACTGTCTCCACATTTGATGAAGTATAAGGAATTCATTGTTCAATCCTTCTTTAACTAATATTGCATCAAATGATTTGAATTTTCTTATAAGCTCATTCCCTATGAAATTGGTAAAAGTTTTATTATCCATTGTATCGGGATGGGCATGAGTCTCCTGAAAATTTTAACAAATTACGCGTGAAACTCAAGCGGAAGAAATTACAAGAAAACTACTCACATCTGGCACAGGTTTATTAACCTTCCCCAAACACTTTGAATAATCTATTGCATTGGGATTGAAGGGAAATAATCCTCATGCTTTAAATCCATTTAGAAGCGTCTCTGGCTTAACAACATTCTTCACTACAGTTTCTGAAAGTGGAGCGAAGGTCATTTTGTTAAGAACTTGCCCTGGATTGCTTTCATAAAATTCCCTAATAGCTTTCTTCCAGCCAATTTTTATAGGTCTAAATACGGCAACATCACATGGCTGCAAAATTCTAGTTGCATTCGGATACAAAGCATTAACTTCAATATTCTAGTCATTGCAGAGTAGGCTAAGTTCATAAGTCAAGTGGGACTTATGTCCATCCAGAAATAATATAACAGGAAAACGCACATTGTTTTCAACTAAATACGGATGAAATATGTTTTTTATGTAATCATAGAATGTCTCTGAAGTCATCCAACCATTATCAGATCGGCCTATTCCCCAAGTGGAATTAACTGTTGCTGCTATTTTTTCAGGAATTCTTTTGTATGGGTAAATTATCATTGGGGGGCATGTCATTCCAGAGGCAGATAAAGGGAACATAACAGTAAGATTTTCCTTTTGAGATCCTTTATCTACAGCATAAACGTTTTTTACGCCTTTTCCAGCAAAAACTTTACCAGTGCTCGGGCAGATTTGGAACCCTGTCTCATCCCCATTATATATTCGAGAAGGATCATCTATATTTATGTTTTTAGACTCCAAATAACCTCTTATCTCATCAAACCATTTTCTGATGTCTGCTTCTGATACACAAGCACTTGCTGAACTAACAGCTTCGCTAGTTCTCTGCACAATTGTGGGGTGCCTTCTTAGGAAATCCTAGGTAAATGGGTGAAATTAAATTATTGAAGAAACCAAATGGCATTAAGTTGTATGTACCTTAAACCTCTAGATAGGTTTATTATGATTAAAAGATGCCCCAAACATTGACTCCCATTCTAAGCTCACTTGCGGACACTTACTGTAGATTAGTGTTTCACAAGATTCTTGAAAATTTCTTGTTCTTGTCTTGTTCTTGCTGCAAGAACAAGACAAGACTCTCTTAAATTTCTTGTCTTGCAAAGCAAGACAAGACAAGAAGTTGCCAAGCAAGACAAGAAATTATTCTGCAAGACTCTGGCAATCTTGCAAGAAATCTTGCAAAAGAATGAAGCCTCCTTCTCTGCATATTTTTGAATTATTTTGGCAACGTTGCAGCATTTAACAACGAGATAAAAATGTCAGCATATCAGTTTGTAAAGTTTAAGGCATTTTTTTGCGACAAAACGTTTTGAAATTGTAGTTTTGAAACACTCAAACAGATGTCAGTTTCTAACAGTTCTTGCAGCAAGTATGGCTAGGAAAATTTTTGGTCATGATGGACGACACTGCACACACAATATTGAATTTCAGGCTCAATATGAAGGCCTTTCCGTTTTCAACCATCAAAGAATCAAGTTGAATTTTTTTTAAGGTCTGTTAGCATTGTAGTGCATAAAATAGTGACGTTAGAGCTGAAACTGTTTTACAAGTGTTTTTGAAACTGTTTTCTCGAAAAAAAAAAGACTTTAAACCAGGAAACAGGACAACCACGTTATCAATGACAATGACACCAATCATATTCTCAAGGGCCCCACAGACTATGATGAAACACGGTTTCATAACCGAAGTGTGTGGAAGAAAACCGTCGTGTTTTTCTATCACACACGCCTCCGACGCGCTTTTGAACGTAATGAATGAAGCAAGAGTCTTGCAGCAAGAATCTTGCAACAAGACTCTTGCAAGCAAGACTCTGGCTATGACGTCACAAAACAAATAATGCAAGAACAAGAAATTGCAAGAAATCTTGTTTGCAAGACAAGATTTTTTTCTGCAAGAGTCGGGCAAGACAAGAATGAATTTCATTTCTTGTCTCAAGACAAGAATAGGCCCAGCAAGACAAGAAATCTTGTCTTGTGAAACACTACTGTAGATGTGCCATATTTATAAATTATCCTAAGTTGCAAGGAAAATGGAATTGGAAATTGAAAAAAATATATTGTAAATATAAAAACCTAGATAGGTATGTATATACAATTATAACACAAAATATCGCGGTGCTTTCCAAAATTGAATAGGAATAATTATTATATAAAATAATAATCTATTATCACAATAAAAGTTGAATAAGAATTTGTGCTAGCTGAAAATGGCAACACTGCCTAAAATCTCGGAACCTGGTTGTATTCGTCTGGGAACGCCCACCTGAATCGTTTATATCTTTGTTAAGATAACCAGATAAAGAAGGATGCAAATATTGCCAGATCAAGCCCGACCATAATCGCGAATGCGCTCTAGTATTCATAGTAAGAAATGTCAAACGGGTTTTGTTTGTAATTGGCCCGCATTGTCCGCAATCTTATCCCCACTTCATGTAGTTCATTCATTAATTCACTATTGTCGTTAAAAATTGTTGGCCGCAGACACCAAACGATTTTATGAATGACTTGCCCGCTCTATTTATGTAGTTGTTGGAGTTCTGCTAAAAAATTAATATATAAAGTCAAATAAAATTTAAAATTGCTGAGAATGCACAGCCCTATTTTTGCCCATCCCTAATTTCTTGTCCTTTTCTTTTACATTTGTATTTTAAATAAAAATATTATCTGTGAAATCAAGGGAAGCTTCTGGCCTTGAACCGATTGGAGAGCCGGTGCCTGGTACAAGTTGGCACAGGCGACCACCTAGCGCGGCGTGGGGAGCAGAGATTTTTTCTAGTAACTTCTTGAAATGCGTAATGCGTAGTTTACAGTCAGTCAAAAAAGAGATTTCAAGGGCGCTGTTTGACTCTATGTAAATTTCCTAACGAATATCTTCGAATTCTCGTTGTTGTGAGTATATAGTATATGCCTATTCCATATATGCTAATCATTCATATGGAATAATCAACTTAAACCTAACAACCCCAAATTCTTCAGTATAATTATGGTTTTTCAATATCAACTATATTTTCGTAACAAAACCTCATGACAATAATTATTAAGTCATCTAGTTAATTACGCTAATCATATTTCTTCCTAACTTCAGATAGGAGTTATTTGTATACTCGAAATTATATTCCTATTATATTTATCTGAGTCAATACTCAAATTATTCCTCAATTATTAAGAGTAAATAAAAACAAGCTCATTAAATTTTCAACTTAGGAATAGATCATTAGGTTTAGATAATAATTCATTAAGATAGAAATTTATATTTAAGGAGCTTAAACTCCCATGAAAAGAAATTCATTGTTATACTAGATTTTGTACCAGCTAGTTATTCTGTACATAATAAAAGTATTCAAAAACGTCCCAACTGAGTAAGAGTTATTTAATTTCGGCGAACACAACATTTGGTGGCAGCGGTTAACGGTGAACGGTGATTTTTGACGGAGCGCCAAGACGCAGCAAGGATCAACAAAACCAGTGAAACTGAAAGGAACGAGTATACTGACGGAGCGCCAAGAACGCAGCAGACAACCTATCCTACATCAGAGAAGAGATTTTCCTGAAGGAGCGCTAAGTACGCATCGGGGATCTTCAGCGAAGAAAAGAGAATAAGTGTAATGCGGTAAGTCTTTTCTTTGTTTTCTGATATAGTAACACTGAGTTTTTAATTAGTTAATTGTTTAAGTTAAGAATTTGTTCATATTTTGAAGGAAAGGAACTGGAAATAATTTAAAAAAAAAAAAAAAAAAAAAGCAAATTTACGAAGCTAATCTTAAATGTTTAATCTTTTTAATAATAATTAACGAAATTAGAGAATATTTATTAGAACAATTTACAGATAAAAGACCCCCATCGCATTTTTTAACTCAAATCATGAATATCAAACAAAATTTTAGAGAATCAGTAAAAGATTATGGCGACAGATTCAGGCAACTCATTAATAAATATAATGAAACATGCCATTTAAATTATGCACAAGCTCAAGCTCAAGTTTTAATAGAAAATTTAGAATCAATAGTAGTGAATAATTTTAGGAAAGGATTAAATAACGAAAAAATACAAATTAGAATTATAGCCGAATGTACAAGTGACATAAATAAGGCAGTTAATATAGCGGTTGAGATGGAGTTAGAACAAACCGAAAATTTTAGTAGAAATGTTCAGGGCGCACATAGAAACATTGGTTACTGTGGGAATTCATCCACATAAGAAATTGTAATTTTTGTGGACTGTAGTAAGGCTGGAAGTCTGAAACCAAAACTTTGGGAACAGAAAAGCACTTCGATATCTATTTACACTATTTTACACTTTATTTTTACTTGAACGTTATTTACACATATGTACAGGGTAAGATGACTTGAGGCCAGAGCTCACATTAACTACTGCCTATAGGGCAGAGTTTTTAATTATGGTTTTACAAAATAAATATTGTTAGAAAAGAACTAACTCGTTGATGCTTGTTACCATGTTGCTCGCCGTACAGACACGGCACAACTGAGAGAGAAAAAAGGAAGTGAAGTTTGACGCAAGCAATGTTGCCAGTGCCAGACTTAACTGCCTAAATTAAATTACAGAAAACTGTAACATTATAAAAGATGTTGGGAACAGATTCCAACATGCTGGGGGCCAGAAACTTGCCATTGAATGATTGAATTGTTCAATGGAAAGATCATGACAAATAACTAATTTAAGAATACAAAATTCATTATCTATTATAAAGTAAAGGTGAATACAAAAGTCTTTTTGTTTTAAATTTTACAATTATACTATATGTACGTACCTAGTAGATATACATAGTTT